GACTTGAGGAGTTATGAGGCGGTCAGGGGTCAGCGATTCAACCCCAGTTTGACCAAGCTCTATCATGCTTTGGCCGCCATCGCGGGGCCCTCAGGCGCTGAAGATCTGAAGACCCTCTCCTTCGAGTCTGAGTGCAACCCCCCTGAGTCTGAGAGTCTCCCACTTTCTCACCCTGTCCTTCTTCCTCTAAAGTTTAGTCCTTTGGCTCTGAGAGGAAGACGGTAGGCGGGTGTGTGGCCCGTAACCCGCGCCAAGGCCTTTGTGGGAGGTTGCCCCACCGATTGCGGGAGCTCTGTCGGGACTCAGGTGGAGTCCTGGAGGCAGGGAACTGAGTGGTAATCCCTCGAATCCCTCTATAAAACCAACTATAACCCCTATCTGTACATCCCTCTATGTTTGACTGAGAGTATTGTATGGATCCTGTACTTGGTTTTTGAGTTTGACTTTCAGGACATAAGTCTAGATTGAAGTAAAAGAATGTATGTGCAATCTCAGTTTCATTTTGTTGATTGTCTGAAAGCAGATTGTGAATGAAATGGGTTGCATCTGGGAGAAGGTTGGGAAAAAGGCAGTATTGTATGCCGTCTGGTTGGGTCATTGAGGCTGGGAGGTCCCGATAAGTTTGGGGAATCCCAGTGCTTTGTTTATTTTTGGATTGCATGGAGCCTCAGACCGCTCTATAAGTTTAGGTAGCCTGAAGCCCTAGAGGTTGGGATGTCCCCATAAGTTTGGGGAGACCCAGCGCTGTGAACTGTATGGAGAGTCTGGACGCTCTATAAGTTTAGGTGACCAGACTGCTCTGACTTGTGAGGGTTTGACTGTGGGTGACTTTCAGGGACCCAAGGTGCTCTATAAGTTTAGGTATCTTGGGTTGCCTTGTTTTACTTGGGATTCTCTCAGTTTCTTTGGTTCTGAACGAGGAGGTCTGAACTGCTCTATAAGTTTAGGTGGTTCAGTCGTTCTCATGTTTTGTTCTGAGGGAATAACTTTGGCAGGAGGCAGGCCGCTCTATAAGTTTAGGTAGCCTGTCCCACTGCCTCGCACAGACTGGACCAGAGAGAAACGAACCTGGCAGAGGATCAGACTGCTCTATAAGTTTAGGTAGTCTGACCCAATGCCTCACACATGTTGGAACCCAATGGTTATAATATGGCTATATTGTATTACTATGCTATTAAGAACAGGTTAGTTAGGCCGCTCTATAAGTTTAGGTAGCCTGACTATAGCTTATCACAACTGAAGAGAGTATAACTAAGAGGTATAGCTGAAGGCAAACTTGGGCGGGCTGAGCAGTGTTCTAAGTTGAGTGGCTCAGCCTTATGTCCCCTTTGAAGATTAAGTTCAGAGAGGTATATATAAGTTGGCTATTTAAACAGTTACACCCAAAGAAAAGAGAAGTAGTCGTGCCCTATGTTTGTGTATACCTGACCAAGTCAGAATGCTCTATAAGTTTAAGTATTCTGACTTTGGGTCTGGCTAAGTTGGGCACGCTCTGTAAGTTCAAGTGCCCTGACCTATGCCTTATGTAAGTTGGGTATAAAGGGGTAACTTACTGAGGAAGCATAAACTATTGTTTGCTAAAGGAGCTTGGGGTTCGTGAGAGTACTTACCTTTGTGATTTGGTCTGCATGTGGCTGAGTGAGATTACTACTTGGTCTGGGTTTCAGATTGACAGATAGTTATTTTATAGGCTTGCCACGTGCTAGAGCGATAGGAGTTAGGTCAATTCCTGCATTTTCTGAGCTGACTTTATTTTACTTAGATCGATTCTTGCATTTCCTGAGACTTGCTGTTATACTTGAACTTGTATAAATTTTGGTAAGCTACTTTCTCTACAGGAAGCGTTGCCAAAATTTTTACAGATTCAAGAAGTTTGACAAATTTTGACTTGTCAAAGTTCAACTTGCCTTTTCTGTATATCCGACTTAGTAAAAATTTGAAAGTCTCCCTTTCTAGAGGGAATGCTGCCCAATTTTTTGCTAATTTAGAGAGTTAGATAAAATTGGACTTTGAAAAGTCAAAAAAACTATAAACTTAGCTTTGTATAAATTTTGGGAAAGCACTTTTCTAGGGGGAATGCTGCCGAAATTTTTGCAAAACTAAGGAGTTAGACTGATTTTGTCTCAGTTGAACTCAAAGTTCGGGGCTGAGTTCAAATTTGACTTGGTATAAATCTAGGAAATCCTCAATTCCAAAGGGGGTGCTGCCCAAATTTTTACTAATTCAGAGAGTTAGACAAAATTTGACGTTCAAAGAGTCATAGATTGCTCCTGCTTTTGATATTTGAGCTTGTATAAATTATGAAAAGATATTTTTCCTACGGGAAGCGTTGCCAGAATTTTCTTGAATTAGAGGAGTTAGATTATATTTTGACAGGTGGCAATTCTGGCAGTCCACCCTGAATAGGGGAGATTTAGCCATTAGTCTACCCTTGCTTTGGACACTAACTTAGAGGCAGACTTGGACTTAGTTGGCAGGTAGCCTTGAGTAAGAATGTGCTATGGAGGTTTATCCCCCATATGCTGATGATTTAGCTTGGGTATTTTACCTACCTTGTGTTACAGGTCCTTTGGGACGTCTGATCCAAGATCAGGACTAGACTCAGCTTGATCCCCTGAGGATCACCTTCTGTTATCACTAATAACAGGTCGGTTGCCGATTCGTCGGTTTGCGACTCGATTTTAACTCACTCTCCACTTAGCCTTGGTGGTTTTACTGTTTGTTAAGGGTTTCACCTGGACTTTTATTGAATGGCCATTTAACAAAGGTACTGAGCATTTAATTGAGGTTGTTTGGATCGACGGTTGGGGCTTGCATGGCTAAAGCGAAGGGGTATGAGTATAGAGAATGATTAGGGTTGACTCCGTGTAGTGCGTGTTTGTCGTTTGATCCTTGATGTGATTGCAGGTATGTCCCGTGACTCAGATTTTGGATTTGGATTGCCTGCGATCCCATATACATACAAATGGTTGCGAGGAATCTCAATGTGCCTGTGAGAAGTGATCGTCGCAACTCTATCTCCTTATGCGTGTATGCGTGAGTGTGCTTGTGATGAATATTTAAGAGGCCTAAGAGGCCCGTGGTAAAATCCCGTTTAAGGGCTGAGGCTGAGGAACAGGGAAGACCGCCCCTTCTGCCTATTTGCGTCTTGAGGTTTTCTTAGTCGGACGTTGGTCCTGGGCCGGGATTCGAGGTCCTTGTCCAGGACATCCCAAACCCTAGACTCTGCAGGGGAGGAATTTCCCCTCGCACAAAGCCTAATTACTTTGGTCGGCGAGACACCCCACCTTGAAGGCGGAAATGTCGCAGGGGCCGAACGACATGTCCTTCAGCCGTTCAATATCGTGAGGGGTGACCCCTCGCGATGTGTTCCTTCAGCCATTCAATATCGCGAGGCCGGAGCCGCGGTTACCACGTACGATTGACATCGGTGGTTGGCATAAAATTGGCCTGCAGCCACGCAACTTTATGTTAAAGTCCCGTGCGCGACGCTTCGCCGCCCCAGCATCTAAAAGTTATGGGATCGCCGGACTCGCACATAGGCGCAGCGCTTGGGATTACTATAGGCCGCCGACACCACCCATAGAGGGGAAGGGTGCTCCAAGGTTACGAGTCCTTTTAAAAGCCAGGGAACCTTTGCCCTATTCCCTCTTCTTGGGTTCGTGCATATTTTATTTGCTTTTTAGAGATTTTTATGGTTGGACGTTGTAGTCCGTGACAGCCGTCAAAGTCAAACGCCTTGACTTTCGCCCAGGCCCTGGGGAGGACTTACCCCTAGGGCCGCGAGAGACGACTGCCACCACAGGCATGGGTTCGTGTACCACCCACTCTGCATAAGGCTGCAGAAGAGGGTGTGTGGTCGTCAACCGCGCATGGCGGTTGTCTAGCCCTGAGAGATCAACCCTCAAGGTGCGTGTCAGCCGACACTTGAGTGTCGAATACGACCCTCGAGATTAATGAGGACCGCGCGAGTATGGGTACTACATAGTATGCCATCATCGCGACTGCTTGCGCACATTTGCATTGCAAGTCGATATGAGATAGCCCCGCGTCCGCGCGGTTTTATATCGGGTCTCGCTCGTTACGCCTATCCGATTTCCGCGTCGGAAAAATAATGGGTTGGCTACCGAGCGGCTAGGAGCATTATCGCGTTGTTCGTGTTGTGTTGTTTTGCGTGTGTGCGTGGGCGTGTGTTTTTATTTTATATTTGTTAAGAGTGATGTGCGTTATCGTGTCGTTTCGTATGTGTGCGTGTGTGTATTTTGTTATTTCTGTATTGTTAGAGTGGTGTACGCTTGGTGTGTGAGATGCATCCTAGTCGACCGATGACAAGTCACGCTTGGGACCTCATCCCCCCGAGATGTTGGCTCGCGTGTGGGTCCGATAGGCGTATTACCGCTCGTACCCCCTGTGCTACAGCGAACGAGAAACGCCCTCGGTCGATCTGCTTTCGTATTGTGGACTGGTAGCTCGGCGGGGATACGCCCACGGATGGGAGGTGACAGCTCCCGTAAGGTGGAGGTAAGTTGTGCCTCGCGTAGACCCTATCCTGTCGTAGGGGCTTGCGAGAGGTATGGCTGGCGCACGAAGCTCCATTTGCGTGTTCGTGTCGAGGTTGGTCCAACTCCTGCGTGACGCGGCCGAGAGGGTCCCGCACTACCGCGCGAGGTGTCGGACCGATGCGCCCGACAGGTGCCGCCGTTGCCAGGGATAACGGAAGCCTACCGTTGTCCCTGGTGGAACGACATCCGCGTATGGGAATGAAGAAGAACTAGGCATATGAGTAGATAAAGGAAGACTATAAAATTAATTGTATGGTGGTCTATATGACTATGGTGTGAATGATTGACTGATTGGCGGCTTGGTTGATGGCGTGGGTGAGGCGAATGTGTGAGGAGACATTTGGTAAGGATAGACCCACCTAGGTACCTAAGGGAGACAGAGAGAGAAATATCCGCCAGGTCTAGAGCATTGAGGGTTTAAGTGGTCAATTCGATAGGATCGTGAAGGATTGAATTGCTGAGTGGGGTCTTTCGTCCTATCGTTTCTTATAACAGGAAGGTTGGAGCCGGAGGTGGTTGATCAAAATGCTAGAGGAGATGGCAGATGGTGGGAGGAGGCTCGTGACATTTGACGACCTCATCGACGCCTTGGATAAGAGGGCGCTGAGCAACGTCCCAAAGGTTGAGACATTCAATTTCAAGGGGAAGCGGGTATCTGACTGGTTAGATTTGACAGAGCAGGCGCTAGTAGGACTGTCAGATGAGGTCAAGCTCCAGTGGGTCCTAAGGTATGTCCTGCATAGTCACCATCGGGAAGTAAGCAAGGTCGTGGATGCCGCCAATGACAGTTGGACAAGGTTTGGGGACCTTATGCAGAGGAAGTACAGGCTGGGGGATGACCTGTTGACCATGACCGACTTGGAGGCCATGAATAAGGAGGACTTCTCTACCATTGGGGCGTTCGTGCACGGATTTAAGAAAAAGGCGAGGAAAGTGCACGAAATCTCTGAGGAGGCGCAGTGCGCCACATTTTTGGGGCTGCTTACGTGCTCGGAGGCTACAGAGTTGGCAAAGTATGGGGAAGGGAGTGAGAGGCTCACCTGGGCAACTACTGACAAGGGAATGGAAGAAGGGAGCCTGAACCAGGTGGAGCAGCATCAAATGAGGCTGCAAAGGCGTAAGAGGAAGGAGAGGGATGCTACTGCATCCCGGACCCCAGGGGTGAAGAGAATTGTCACGGACGTGTTGGCGGCACTGGGGTATGACAATGAAGCAGAAATACAGAAAAAATGGGTGATAGTGGCCCAAGGCCGGGCGTCAGGGCAGTGGATGAGGAGGCTGGGCAGGAAGACTACGGCGGAGGGGAGACGGGTTCCCAAGCCCTGACTAAGGCCCAGAGGAAGCAGCGCAACCTGCTGCTGGGAGGGCAGGGATCAGGGAAGGGGCAGGCTCCCCAAGCCATTGCCGCACCGCTGCCTGTCGCCGCAGCCGCGCCAGTGCCAGCAGGATCATCTCACATGGGGCCGCCACCAGCTTGCGGACACTGGGTGCCGCATTGTCAGTCCGCGCCCTGGCCCAGTTGCAACCATTGTGTCTCATGTGGGGGGGGGTCAAGCCCATTCGGGACACGTGGTCCCCTACTCGGGCCCATCTGCAAGTATGGGCCCCCCGAGCTACCCGACGACTCAAGGCCAGCTTGTGGCCCAACCGCCGCCCTCCCAGCAGGCCTCGCAAGCTAGTGTGGCCGGGGGAGGGAGTCAGGGACAAGGCGGGCAAGGCAATGGGGGCAGGGGCCAAGGGGGTCGAGGAGGGGGTGGCCGGGGGCGAGGAGGAAATGGTGGAGGACGTGGAGGAGGTTGGAGTGGTCAGGGGGGTCACAACCAAGGTGGCCAAGGCAGCCAGGAGGGGGGCCAAGGGTACGGGAGGCCCCGCTTCGATTGGCGGAATGCAACTTGTTGGCATTGTGGCGAGGTGGGCCACATTGTACGGTTCTGTCAACAACGGCGGGACGATGAGCTGGCGGGACTGATTTCCTCATGTATGGACGGGGACATATACGATAGGTGGGGGAAGCACATCGATCCCAAGACCCCGGGAGGAATCAGGCAAGAGGCCCTCAGGCGAGCAGCAGCAGGGCCACCAGCAGCCCCAGCGATGTTCAAGATATGGCAGGAAAGGGGGGACCAGGGTGTGAGGGTCGAAGAGATTGTGGATGAGAGTGAGGAAGTGACTCAACAACTAGAGCACTACATGTTGAGTCAGGGGATTGCGCGGGAGGAGTGGGTACATGCCCTACTTATCTGGACTAGGGGGGCAGAGAGGCCGGTGGCCAGACAGATTCGGAAGAGGGCTCGAGATTGGGAGGACTGTCAGGCTCAGCTCAGGAGGGCGTTTGGACGACCAGAGCGCGAGAGGCTTGAGCCTAGGGTCGAGAGGCGGAGGCGAAGCAAGAGGCCGAGGGAACCAGCGCCGAGAGAGGTGGGGCTGACCATAGAGAAGAGGAGGGCCCCAACACAGCGAGAGGATGAGCCCGCAGGGCCCGCACCGGAAGAGGAGTCGTTCCCTGTTTGTGGCCTCCGGGCAGTTGAGTTTCGGTGGATTACGAGCGAGGAGTTGAGACCGCCCTCACCATTGCCATCAGGGCAGGAGATGAACATACCAGGAGAGACGCCATTCCGGAACTTAGCGACTCACCTTGATGTATCTCAATGGGAGGCCTCACGGTTGGGGGAGGGCTCAGTTGAGCCGACGCGCTATGTGCCGTTGGACGAGCCTTTGGACCCCGAGACGGAGACGAACGTACGGGACCGAGCAGAGCCGCAGGATCCTGAGGTGGCACCCGAGCAGCCGGATTCGGTACGGCCTCAGGCTGGGGAGGTGATCACGGTCGGAGACGATACCCCTCCATGCTCCCCAGTTCCAGAGCCAGCACAGCATTCATGGCCAGAGGGGATTCCTGAGCCAGGCAGCGAGGAGATTCCGGAGTTTCCCCCTGAGGCCACCGCTATGCCTGAGCAGGAGGCAGAGACGGAGGGTCAGGGAGCGTGAGAGAGAGAGAGGGTGGAGGCGCCCCTTGACTTGCCATCGGCCACGCACGTGACCGAGAGCCCAGTTATCGAGGAACCTGCTCCAACGGAGTTACCGTCGGCATTGCCATGCACGAGCGAGAGGATGGGTACCGAGGCGTCAACTCCGGAGGGCCAGGGGCCGCGGGTGAGAAGAGGCTCAAGAGAAACCCGCGAAGAGAAGTCCGCCAGAGTGCGGGTCCGTTTGGACGAAATACATGCGAGGCAGGCTGAAATGGAGGCGGCAGGGATAGAGCCGACGCCGTCGGTCGATCCCAAGACGAGTGAGCAGCGGATCGACGAGTTGTGGGGGAGGTACGAGAGCCAGAGGGACATGGCGCGCCAGAGGTCACGAGAGATGGGACAGGCGGACGAGGAGGCGGGTAAGCTGAGGGAGATGGGGGAGTTGGGGTTCTCTGCGACTAGGATGGCGATTGAGCGTGTGGACAGGAAGATATGCGAGAGGACGGTTACATCCTTCCAGTGGTATAGTCTACTCAACGATGAGTTCAGGGTCAGAGAGTTGGAGGTGGAACACCTGACTACTCAGCTTGCCGAGGAGAGGGCAGGGAGCCAGGCCAGAGAGGTCGAGTGGGAGAGGGGATTTGGGGAGATGGCAGCCATTGTGGACAGGCTCTCAGCGGCCTGGAAGGCTAGCCAGGCGGGACGAGCTGGTGCCGATGACCAGGGCCGAGGGATGCAGGCTTCGCCAAATCAGGGAGCAGCGGTGGAGACCCCTCGACAGGCTGGGCCAATGGGGGAGGTGTCCTTGGACACAGCCAAGGAGGAGGGTGACGCACATGAGTCGCTCATGGCCATGTCCACGGAGAGGAGAGGCTCGCGTTTGCATGAGCTGACGACAGCCATGGGGATAGGTACACCACAGGAGAGGCCTCAGAAGCTTGACACCGTAGGCTACACCCCAGGGCTGGGAGAGTTGAGGGCGGAGCTGGGCTTTTGGGCCACAGAGACGGACTCAGGAGGGCCTGACTCAGGGCGGCAGTAGCAGCAGGAGGTCATGAGTGAGCCAGCCACCGTGGCAGGCTTTCAGCCATCAGGGCCATGTGGGGATGTGGTTGTGACGGAGAGGCCTCACGAGGAGGGGTCCCGAGAGTTGGGCACACTAGACCACGAGCCAGTGAGCACTGTCGTGCGAGGAGGTAAGGATGCTGAGGCTGGGGAGTTCGCACCTCGGGGCCATATGGGGGTACCATTATGTCACGAGGTGACCACCGAGACCATGGGGACGCCGTCAGCATCGAGCTCCCGGGGGAGAAAGAAGAAGACTGCCAGGTGGCATGACACCTCCTGCTTTTGGTGCAAGAAGGAAGGGCATAGAGCCGTGGACTGCCCATAGCTCCTCGAGGATAAGGCAGAGGGGCGGGTTGCAGAGGTCGACGGCAAGTTCTATGACAGACAGGGCAGGGTAGTGGAGCGAGCTCCAGATGGGGGTAGAGCCCAGTTATACAAGTAGAACCATGAGGAATTCTGTGAGTAGGGACTGGTCTGTCTATGTGTCAGTAGGGTAAGAGTATGTGACATACAGGGGGCGGGTTGGAGGTGTATAGATGCCTAGTTGACTGAGGGAGCCCTTGATGTGTGCATACTTTAGGGGTGGTAGGAGGAGTCCCTGCCTGCTCATACATACATAGTTGATCGTGTTTTCTTTGAGCTCTTCGTTCATGGGGCTACGACTAGGACGCGGGGGTCGCCCGTAGGACACATGAGACTATTCAGCCCTTCTTTGGCTTGTGGTGAGGAGACTATTTGGGTTTTGAGAAAGACCTGGGAGTTAGGCACCCATTAGATTTTTGGCAGATGTTGTGTACCCGAGCGCGTTCCGCGAGTTGTACAGTGGGGCCGTGAGCCATGCTAAAATGGGCAGAGTTTTGAGTTGAGCGTCTGTATTTGAGCTTTGGGGGAGACATTCTACTCCCTGAGTGTACTATGAGTTGAGATTCTACGAGACTTGTCTTGTGACGATCACTATCACTCTCACATGTGTGGATTTATCTCGATGTATGTTTGGCTTTGTGTGAGGGGGTGTACAAGATACGCCCCGTGAATAGTGAAGCTGCCTACTCTCCGGTATACTCATGCGGTCTGCTTGTGAGCAGACGGGAGGACAGAGTATAAGGAGGGGGAGTGCAGCCAGTTTGTGAAAGACTGTGAGAATCCAACGGGATTGATGAATTCGGAGGTCTAATTGTCTGGCTATGTCAGGCGTTGTTTACTCAAATTGTACAGGGGCCCGGAAGATGGTCCCTCAGTTCGAATTGGTTGGTGATTGAGACCCTCTTCATGGTTCTGGAAGGCGGGGATTGCATTGTTATTGAGACCCCTTTATGGTTTTGAAAGAGGTCGCGTAAAAGTTCATCCCAGACAGAAAAGGGGTGAGCGAGAGATCTTTTGTGAGAGACACACCTTACTAAGTAAGGGTGGGTATACTGATTGGTATGGAAAACATTGTTTGTGTTAATAAAGTCTGACGAGAGGAACCATGTTTGCTTGAATTATTTGAAAAGGGCGAGAGATGCCTCAGGGTGGGCGACTGCTGGCTCTGATAAAGTCAGGAACCGCGGCCTTGTGGATCCAGCGGGGAGACTGTTTGTGATTGAGCGAAGGATGTCGTTCCTATTATAGGAGGGCCGGTAAATACCTTTAGACCCCTGCGTAGTCCCGCAGCGGCCTGTGAATTATTTGTGATGCCCCGCCGAGCCACGTGTGCTAATTTTGAGACATATTTAAAGGAATACCAAGCTAACGGTAAAGTTTAGTGCCACCTAGGCGCAACCCCTAGTGGATGGCTACAAGCCGGCACAACCCGGCTGCGGGCCCGCGAGGTAAGAGTTTAAGGGGAGTTGCCCGCCCTAGAGAAATTACTCCGCGGGATAGGAGTCGAGTCTTTTGGAAAGTCCTAATTGACCGATTATCACGAAAAACACCTATCGTTGTATAACCAACGAGAGGATACCGCCGCTAAGGTAACAACGTGGTGGGCCGTAGGCCTGGCCCCATCAGCCAGGTTACGGTGGGCCCAGATAGGGACCTGGCATTTCTGTACTAGACTGCAGAAAAGGCCGAGAGGTGGTTAAAAACTTATACGGGTGTATTTTATTTGATTGTGAAAACATTGCTGGAAAAAGGCAAAGAATGCCTTCAATGGTCCCATTCGAAGCCCGTGTCCCTAGTTATGGCTCTGCTTACGAGAAAGAGGCTAACTGGGACACCCAACGAGAGGCCGACGGTTGTCTAGGGCGAAAGGGGAAGAGGATGACTTGAGGGCCTTTGGAACTTATGCTGTAGTATCGATGCGAAATACACCAGCGTCCTGTTGTAAGGACAATGGGGACCCAGGTTGAAACCCTGGCAGCATATAGTTGTGTTGACATGGTTGATGAAGGCCTCAACCCTGAGTCCGTCGGCTAATCGGATTGGTTTCTAATCTCGTCAGCACTTGGAATGTGAAGGAATTTATAGCCTTCGATTTGGCGACAAGACGGGGACGTCACTTAATATGGTCCGGTAAACTGTCGGCACGAATACCCTTACAAGGGTATCCGCCCTGGTTTTTGCAAGTGACAAAAAGGCTTGGTTAACCTGGATTTTGAGTGCCTCTGCGAGAAAATGCGAGGGTCGTCCGCACGCGGGCAAGGGTCTGCCTTGTCCCGGTAGGGAGTACGTGGGCACGCAACTTTAAGGAGTGCGTGTGATTTTTTCTGATTGAGTGGGCGGCCGGGGTAGCCAACCGACCTGGACCGTGTTACGGCCTTGATTAAGGAATGAAAGTTGTTCCTGATCAGTGCGCACGGCCCAACGGTAGGGCTGGCGCACCAATAGGTGCGCGGGATGGCTATGCCACAGGATGGTGGGTCGGCGCGGGCCCAAGGGGGCATCTGGGGGCCGTGGGGGCAAGTGCGGGTTGAGAGAGTGGTCGGGGCGGTGTCCTGGCCCGTAGCGCCACGCGATACCATTTCATGTGGGAAAGTGCGCCTCCTAATACCAGGCTTGGGCTTAGCCCTATAGGTTACGGTACTGGATTTGCACAGTGGAGGTATGGGGATCGAGGCCAGCAGACGACAGCGCAGGAGCAGTGGAGCGTCGGAGAAACTGAGGGGTTGAGGGTCCCGCGGGACTATCCCCCTTAGTTTTGTTGGGGGAGTCTAATCATGGGCCCGCTTTGCAGGGCCGGGGAACTGTTGGTAGGCCCCGTCGCTCGCCCCCGATAGATCCCTCGTGAGATGTTGGGTCTTGTTTTGATTATTGCTAATTTTTATTTTTTTGTAGGCTACCAGGGCCCCGACACTGATTTGCGGGCCTGGGCCGTAGACCCATGGGTACGGTGGGATGGGGGGCGCCCGTGGAGTCTCGAAACACAGGCCGAGTAGTCTTTACTACTCATGTGGGGTGTTACATTGGCAATAACCCTGTAGGAAGATCTGCATGACAGCAGGGCGAGGAACATTCATGAAGATCCGGGGATGAACCCGGACGCAACCCGAGGTAGGGGTGTGTCGGGGAAAATAAAGAGAGGGGGGGCGGCCCGGCCACTTGCTGGCATTAGAGTCGTAACACGTGACTGACACACCTACCATGGACCCGGCCTCGAAAGGAAGCCAGATCCCTGCCAAAATGGTGCGAGGGGTGCAGCTGCAGATCTTCAGGGCATCCGTTAAAAATTGAAGCGATATCGAAAAGATTCGCCTGGCCAGCTGTGTATGGATAACGAACCCGGGATTGAACCCGGCCGCGAGCCAGGCCCGGTTCGTGCGCAGTCCTACCGGGGCAAGGTGACCCTGAGGCCGCCCGAGCCCCGAAGGGCTGTTGGCGGGTGCTAAGCCGGAACAGAAGTCCTTTGGGACATCTGTTAAAATTGGAGCGATAAAAGATAGGTTAGCGTGGCTCTAGGGGAAGGCGGGCGTGTATAAAGCGAGCGCGGTACTCCCTTCGTTTGGTTTGATCGGCCGACTGTCCCCTGTCTTTTTTCTTCCTCGAACACATCATCACCGATTTTGAATGGATGATTCATCCTCGATCGGTTTGCACGTGCAGCCATGCGAGTCTGGGAAGCGGCTATGTGCTCATGCGCGGTCTTCATGATCGACGTCATATGTGCAAGCCAATCATCCATCGCGGGACAATTCGCGTCGGGGTGCATCTGTGACGATCGAAGGAAGTTCGCGGGAACACGAGGGTGATAGCCGAGGTAGCAATAGTAAGGCGTCATCCCCATGGCTGGCGAAACGGCGTGTTTGTAAGCTATCTCCACGCGAGCAAGATAGAGATCCCACTGCTGGTCGTTACAAACAATCTTTCGAAGAATATCTCCGAGAGTCCTGTTCGTGACCTCGGTCCGACCATCAGTCTGGGGATGGTAAGACGAGGAGAAGCGGAGCTGAGTGTCGAACACCTCGTGGAGTCGTCGTCAGAATCGGCTGGTAAAGCGCGGGTCACAGTCGGATATGATGCTCAGACGTAAGCCGTGGTGGTGCACAACTTGGTCAAACACGATGTCAGCGACCTCACGTGCACTGATGCCATAGTTGCACAGAACAAAGCGTGCACGCTTCGTGAAGCGGTCGACGACGACCATGATAACATCATGACCACGGGGGGGCGGAGGATGACCGATAAAGTCCATCGAGATGAAATGCCAACAACCCTCAGGGATAGGAAGAGGCTGAAGCAAATCATAAGGCAGGTGGTTCGCAATGTTCACCTCATGACAGGTGAGACACTCTACGACGTAGTCCTTCACAAAGTCCTTGCGCTTCGGTCAGACGTACAGGCGGCTCACATGAGCCAACGTCTTGTGGAAGCCCATATGACCGGCGAATGCTTGGTGATGGAACTCTGCTACTGCCCGGACACTTGGCTGTCCAGTGAAGGGAATGCAAATACGGGGCTCTTTGATGCCCTGTGAACCATGCCAATACACAAGACCGTTGTCCCCGAGATAGTAGTTCGGGACGGTCTTGCCACTCCGAAGGGTCGCATGGATGTTGCGATAGTCGGGGTAGTGGCGGTATTGAGTGCGAAACTCGTCGGTCAT